GAAACATCTCAGTGGCTATTCAGTCAATTCCTGGGGCCTTGTTTTTCACTGGTTCCTTTACTGCAGCTTGGACTTCTTTCGGTACCATAAGTTCTGGCTTATATGCTACCTCCTGAAATGGTTGAGTGTCAACCAATTATTTTTGGTATCCTTTCTGTCTTCTTTTGATGCTTGCTGCACCATTCAGTATTTGCCCATAGCATCCTTCAGTATCATAACTCAAACCTTGAATATTTTCTTCAGTTCTTTCAGCTTGAGAAATGCCTAGTGTGTTCTTCCCTTTTGTTTTAATAACTCCAGGCCTTTGCACATTTCATTATAATACTTTACTTCGTCTTCTTAAGCCACATTTTGCAATCTTCTGTTCAGTTCTTTTACTTCATCATTTCTTCCATTCACTTTAGTTCTTTTCTGATCAAGAGCAAGTGTAAGAGTCTTTTTTGACATGCATTTTGGTCTTTTCCTTCTTTCTTGTCTTTTTAATGACTTTTTACATTCTTCATGTATGATGTCCTTTATGCCATTTCATCACTTGTCTAGCCTTTAGTCATTGGTATTCAGTAAGTCAAATCTGTTATTCAGATGGTCTGTACATTCAGGTATGATATACTCAAGGTCATATTTTGATTCTCATGGACTTGTTTTAGTTTTCTTCATCTTTAACTTAAACTCGCATAGAAGCAATTGACTGTTCCATACTCAGCCCTTGGCCTTGTCCTGACTGATGATATTGAGCTTCTCCATCACCTCCTTCCAGAGAGATAGTTAATTTGATTCCTGTGTACTCCATCTGGTGAGGTCCACGTGTAAAATCGCTGTTATTTTGCTGAAAAAAAAAAAGGCATTTGCAATGAATAAGTTGTTCATTGTACAAAATTCTATCATGCAGTCTTCAGCTTTATTTCTATAACTAAGGGCATATTTTCCAAGTACTGATGCTTCTTCTGTTACCAACTTCCACATTCCAATCTCTAGTAGTTATCAATACATCTTGATTGCATGTTCTGTCAATTTCAAACTGCAGAAATGGATAAAAATCTTCAATTTCTTCATCTTTGGCATTAGTGGTTGGTGCATAAACTTGAATAAAAGTGGTATTAACTGGATTTCTTTGTAAGTGTATGGATATTATCTTATCACTGACAGAATTGTATTTCAGTATAGATCTTGAAATGTTCTTTTTGACAGTGAATGCAATGCCATGTATGTTCAATTTGTAATTCCCAGCATAGTAGACCATATGATTGTCCAATTAAAAATGGCCAGTACCAGTCTATTTCAGCTCACTAATGTCTAGGATATTGATCTTTATGCATTCCATCTCGTTTTTGACAACTTCCAATTTCCCAGATTCATACTTCGTACATTTCACATTCCAATTATTAATAGATATTTGCAGCTGTTTCTTGTCACGTTGAGTCATGCCACATCAGCAAATAAAGGTCCCTAAAGCGTCACTCTAGCCACATCATTAAGGTCTGCTCTACTTTGAGAAGGCAACTCTTCCCTCATCTGTCAGTTTGTCATACTGTGGTGGCTTGTACATTCCTATGATTCTGGAGACTATGCCGCCAGTATTCCAAATACCAGTAGCGTCACCCATAGTGGTCAGGTTTCAGCAGAGCTTCTAGACTAAGGCCAACTATGGAAAGGGACATGGTGGTCTACTTCTGAAAAAATGAGCCACTGAAAACCTCATGAAAGCAGTGAAAAACCGTCTGATAGGGTGCCAGCAAAATTTATGAATAGCAGTGGAACATTCTCTGTTAAAGTGCCAGAATATAAGGCCCTCAGTTGGAAGGCACTTAAAATACATTCTAATTCTTGGACTAGGTCATTACAAAGGCTATCTCTTTGCTTTCTATATTCTTTGATTCTCTATCTTCCAAATATGCACAGAATAATTGACTGTACAGTTTTCTTCCTTGCAAATGACAGTTGGAAAATCTATTCTGGCCATTCTTTTCCTCTTTCAAAGAGCAAGAACCAGTTAGAAAGTCAGAAAGGAAATGAAGTCAGTTCTTTTCTGTTTTCCAGCACTTGATTAAAAGAAACCAAAAACCAAACTCACTGCTGTCAAGTTCTATGAGTTGGGTCACAGAACTGCCTTGGGTTTCCGAGGCAGTATCACTATGGAAAAAGCCAAACCAAAATACCCCTCCTCCAAATACTTCCCTGGCTACTGCCCAAACTGAGCCACATCTAACTTTACCTTTCTTTGGGGAACTTTCCAGAGGGGCCAGTGCCAAAGGAAAAGCATTATACTTTGTTTCCATGACTTCAGCTTTAGGCTTTCTCAACTCAGGTGGTAAATAGCTTTTGGAGAGTAGATAGCTTATGCTGCCCTTGCCCTTATCCCTGTCCCTGCCCATCCACCCTTCCTGTTATCCTGCCCAGAATATGGGCAGGTATCAGAAAAGTTGGGCACATCCAGCCAGAAACAGATTTTACAGATGCTGTTGCGCTAGAGCAGGACACAAACATGAAAGAGGAATAAGAGGAGCAGCAGCTGTAGGGGCTGACAGAACTCCTGTCTCTTCCCTGAGCTGGAAAAATCCATCTCTCCCTATGTAGGAGTCTTGCAGGCTCCCACAGGGAGGGTTGGTGAGTAAACAGAAAGAATAATAAAGGTGTCCTTGCCTTGAAGACTGATTCAGGGTAACAAAGAAAGTATTGCCCTGCAGTGTTTGGATTCTGAGACGTTTATTCGTATATTTTATCACACATTTGCCTGTAGCATCCTGACACACACCGTGTTCACTCCAAGAGGGTTAGGTGGAGGGATTCTTTATTTGTAAAGTGAACCAAAATAACAACACTCACAGGAATTCAGTGTCTGGTCTATGTACATGCACATGCCCTGTATATATGTGTATGTGGAGGCAGCAGGGCACAGTGAAAGAATGCTGGCTTTAGAGTGATTCATTCCTTCGCATATTCATTCCCGAAAACTGGCGGAGCTTCTAGCATGTGCAAGCATTATTCTGGGGATGGGGGATGGGGACATGAACAAGGGAGACAAAATATCTACTCCAGAGGAGCTTATTTTCTCAGAGGCGAACAAACAATAAAACAAACCAATCAGAGAGGTGTGGGCTTCTATTTCAGCTCCACCATTTAGCAACTATACGACATTGAACATATGACTTTGACCTCACTGAATCTCAATTTCTTTATAAATGAGGTTATAACTATCTTCTAGGGATGTCTAAAACTTAAAGACAAAGTATCTAGTTAGGATCTTGCACATTGGAGGTACTCAATAAATGGTAGACATGATTATGGTGTGGGCAGGATGTCTGTGGGGCTAAGATACTTGCTGACTTGCTGTGGAGCTAAAGAGAATGGACGAAGACATGCAGAACTTGTAAGCAACCCCCAGTGGGGGTATTAAAAGCTCTCATGCCCCTTTTAGCAGAAAAGCTAGTCAGTTCCTTTCTCTACTATCTAACATCTGAAAACAAAAAAACACTAACTTGAATTCAAGCTAAGTGTCTTCTTGAGTCAAAGGTGAGTTGAGTTGTTTGTACACATGCTCATGAAATGAGATGTCAAAGAAAAGATGCAGGAGATTTACAAACATTCCTGCAGTTGTAGAGCAGGGATGTTTATCATGCCGTTTATGAAAATATGATACGTTTTGATAATGTAGACTCATTTAACCAGTTAACCAGTGTTGATTAAGCTGGATGCTGAAATAAAAATGATAAAATCTCTGTGCCCTCACAATCTCCCAGTCTGGCAGAGGAGACAGACATACAAATTACTGTAATACAACATGAAGAAGAATATGGACAAAATCTTTTGGGGTTATGGAGGAAGGAGTAATCTGCTTGGCCAAGAAAGTTAGAGAAAATGTCTCCAAGAAGATGGCATTGGAGCTGATGTTTATGCTGGATTTTAAAGGATAAGTAGGTTGTAGGAAAAATAGAAGCTATCTGATAGGGGGCAGTCACTTTGGTTCTCATAACTTCTTTGTGTTTAAATTCTTAGAGCCAGTAGGCACAGTTGACCTTCTCATCTGCAGTAGCCTTTCCTCATCACAGCACACGCAAGAAGAGCACATTGTGCACAGTTGTTGGTCTAAACATTAGTTAATTGTCTTTGAAAATGCCACAGAAGCTCTGAATTTTAATATGTGATTAGTGTTGACTTTATTACTTATAATAACATAGACAAGAATAGAAAAATATAAGAGCCTTGGAAAAATATACAGAGACTAAGAAGATAAGAATAGAGAGGAAGCTGGTACAAGGAATATGCAAGCTCAAAGAGCCTATAAAAACTTTTTTTTCTTTTTTTAAGTAAGCTCTGAGCTTTCTTAAGGCTAAAACAATGACTTAAAAAACCCTCTATTGAACATCCTATTTATACCATTGGTGTTGAGAGATATATTATTTTCTCAGGGGAATAGAAAAAAAGATTTTCCTGTTCTAAAAACATTTTTTTTTTTTCATGTAGATCTACATATGGGAAAGATTTTGAGTTAAAGAATATGGATCACTGTAAAAGTGCGAATGAAATAGTAAATGTGGTTGTCAAAGCACAGACTTTGAAGTCAGACTGACCTGAATTCCAATTCTGGCTTACTATTTTTTGTGATGTTAAACAAAGTTTTTACACCTCAGTTTCCTAAAATGGAAGGGAAAAGAGCTGACTTCATGGGGTTGACTTGGAAGGACTCAATGAAGTGATATACATACAATGTTTAGCACAGTGTCTGGCCCTTAAATATGGTAGTTGTAGCACTGATTCAAGAGCCATGGCTATCTTTGAATTATTTTAAAAGAAAATAATGTCTCATCCCATATCTGCAATCTCAGAGATGTTCCTGTCCTACATGTGCTTTTAGGAACAGACACTGTTAAACCCAGATAAAGGTATTAATGATGATAAAGGCAAAGAAGCAGTGCATACCAAACCAATAGAGTGTAATGAGTCTGGTGGTAAGAAAGACTAACCAAAGACTGCTCTCATGTTTTATGTGTCTTTTTTTGAAGGTGGATAATTCAAATTGTGACCAAGAACTTCTTTCCCTGCTCCTGGATGCCAACCTGTTGGTGAAGTGTATCTCCACTCCCTTTTATCCCCATATCATTAACCACCTCTTGGCCAGCCTGCAGCAAGGACGTTGGGATGCAGAGGAGCTGGCCAGACACCTGTGGGAGGCCGGCCATGAAGCTGAAGCTGGGTCACTCCTTCTGGCCATAAGAGGGACTCATCGGGCTTTGAGAACTTTCAGCACAGCCCTCAGCACAGGACAGCACTGGATGTGAGTGTGCCTTGCATGAACCCATGCCACAATCACCAGTCTCCCAGCTCCCCAAGGAAAAGAAAACCCAGAGCCAAATGCCCTTCCCAGAAGCAACGTGTCAGTTAATTGTTCTAAATGATTCCAGCAAGTTGCAAATAAAGCTGTATATAAATTTTGAGCAAGCTTCCATTTAAAATTTGTTTATCTTTCTTACAATGACTGTTTCACATGCGTTCTTGGAGCTCTGGTAGCATAGTGCCTAAGGCACCTGACTGCTAACCAGAAGGCTGGTGGTTCAAACCCACCAGCCAGTCCTTGGAAGGAAGTTTGGACAATCTACTTTCATAGCGATACCACCTCGGAAACCCAAGGAGGGGTTATTTATGAGTCAGGTCTGACTTGACAGCACATAACAACAACATGCTTTCTTATTGAAAAAAACTCTTCTTGACCCTAAAAAAAAAAAAAAATTACTGCCGTAGAGTCAATTTCGACTCATAGCGACCCCTTCTTGGGTTTCCGAGGCGGTATCACAACAAAAGTAGATTGCCCAATCTTCCTTCCGAGGAATGGCTGGCGAGTTTGAACCGCCAGCCTTCTGGTTAGCAGTCAGATGCTTTAGGCACTTCACCACTTCTTGCCCTTAAGATCCCTTTTTAACTGCCTTTTCTCAGTAGTATACAATTTATGAAGTACCTAAAACTGCAGATTAGAAATTGGGGACGCTGTTAGGTAGGATTGTATTATAAAAGGAGAGAGCAATCAAGCAGTAGATGATTTTGGGGCAGCTATTGAAGATGAGGAGGAGAGATGATATGGATTCAAATCTCAGTCATGTGACCTTGAACAAATTACTCAACCTCTCTGAACCTTAGTTCATCATCTATAAAATGAGGGTTATATTACTTATGTCACAGAGTTGGTGGTATTACATGAGGGTGTGTGTGTGAGGCTCTGCAAGATACACAAAGCCAAAAAATATTAACTCTCCTTCGCCTCACTGGTGTTACAGTGAGGAGCGTGTATGTATATGAGTTATGACTTTAAGATCAGTTCTTGCCATATACAATACCAACACATAAGGGTTGTTTACACTTGAGTAAGGCCCACCATAACTTACCAGAACAAAAAATATTCCATTTGATCAATTTCTGTACATGTGAAACCTATGTAGCCAGGTGAATGGGATAGCAGAGCTAGCATATACATTTACCATAGGTAAGATTGATATCAGAGTTCACTAATTTGCAAATAGCCAATCATAGCAAGAGTATGAATACCAGTACCCCTAGGGGAACCAACCACAGAAGGCATGTTCTCTACTGTAGAGCATGAGAACTCAGGTTCTTAACTTCTGGGCACGTGACCCCAGTGCAGAAATGTGTGTTTGAAGATGGAGGCTCTGGCTGAATGCTTGGACTTAGCTGTGGTAAGAGTCCCCTCACACCAGCTGCACAGCACAGTGACAGCAGTGTGGGCAGCATGGTAAAAGAGAGGGAGCCACACTCACATGGGGATTGATGGATCAGAAATGTCCACCTACAGTAAAGCACAGTGGTCATTTACCCCTACTTAATGAAATATAGTTGTTTAGAGGGACTGAGGGATTAATTGTGTGTTAATAGAAAAGTTTAGGTAGATGAGAAAATTTTAAATAGGATAATCCTTTGTTATGTGGAATACCTTTTTAATAAGTTCAAATAATTTGAAAAGACTACTTCGTGTCATTTGTCATTGATACATCAAAGCCAGTGGATTGAATGTGACAAAGCTGACTGTAGATCTTTAACAAATAGCATATTGAGCATGGGAAAGGCAACCTCGTGTCCACGTTTTCTTCCCCACCAGTGCCATATGCATATCTGACTGGGCCAACCCTCTATCCAATAGTATCAGTCTACCAATATCAGCATCGTCATTATTGACTTGATTTCTAATCCTGTATGTATAGCTACAGAGTCCTCTGACAATATATTTTGATTATCTTTGGTGGAGACTTATTAACATAATACTCTCATGACATCTGACCAGTTATTTTCTCCAGGATTGAGTTTCTTGCCCAAACTTTCAGCAGCACCTAGAATTTAGGGCACAGGTCTCTGAAGTGCTTCGGAAGAAGGGAACAGCAATTTTCTCCCAGTATAGGTAATGTCTGTACAGAGGTAGACCCACGAGCAGAAAAGGCCTTTTTAGAACTCTGATGGTACCAGCTGTACCAGATGGCATTGGTCATGTCACTCCCAGGAAGCATGAGCACTGGTAACTTGGGTTTTTGCTAACCTTACAGCTAACCACCATCGTTTCACAGAATTGAAAGTACAGTAAATTGTATTCTGAGATAACATAATCCATGCTAAAGGAATCCATTCAGAGATCATTCTCTTCAAATTGCAGCACTATAGGCTCTTATATTGGATAGGCCTTAGATATCTCACTTTATAGATGAGGAAATGGAGGCTCACAAGGCCTGAAAGGACTTGCTTAAGAAAAACAGTGAGTTTTAGGTCTCCACACTCCCAGCCACCATTCCAAAGTGCTTATAAGAAAGGATTCCCTCATATAAACCACCTTGCCATGTCTCATATCCTTGCATACCAGAAACCAAATTTGCAAGGTTTAGACAGTTCCTATAAAATAATAATAAATGAGAAGAGAAATAATGGAGTTCACTCCAGATTCATACTAATTGCATAAATACTCTAGAAGACAGAGGTGTTTTTTATGTTAATATTTACAATGTCAACCATAAATGTTAGAGAAGTAATATAATACATTGTCTCTCTTGCAAAAAGTTCCTAACAGTTATCCCAAACTTTTACCATTGAAAATAAGCAGAATAAGTAGCCCTCCCATGGCGGGGAAGGTTACTGGGCAGGGAGGGGAGGAGACTGGGTTAGGGTTGGGGATTGTAAATGGGGAATGAAACTAAATGTACATGTAATGTTGAATGTAAAACAAACTCTGCTTTGTAAACTTGCACGTAAAGCACAATAAATAAATAAATAAAAAGGCATTCTCTCTCAAAAATAAATAAATAAGCAGAATAAAAAAGGCTGGACTGATACCATCTTCATTCAGATCTATAGCTTTGCTTGCCCAGAAAGTGAGCCACGGGTGAACCAGTGTAGGCAGTGAGCCTTTGTATCAGATCCTAGTGAACTCTGCTCCCTGGTTATCTGTGAGACTTGGAACAAGCCACTTCATCTCTCTGAGTCTCATTTTTCTCATCTACAGATAAGGCCAATAATTGTTTTTCAGGATATTTTTGTAGTCAACAAATGATGCTGTTGTGTCACTGCCATCCAAGGTCTCTCTGCTCTAGTGGAATCCCATGTCCCAAGGGACTGCTCTCTCAACTGCTGCATCCATGCCCGCTGCAGCTACAGGTACCCACCCCCACTTACCTCCACATATACAACCCAAACTTTACATGAACTCATTTAATCCTTGTGATAATCTTATATCTAAATGGAGGTACAAAGAAGTTAAGTAATGTGCTTGAGGTGACAAAGCTAGTAAAGAATGGAACCATTGTGCAAACATAGGTGGTCTGACTCAGAACTTGGCTCTTAACAGAGTGCTTTATTAACTCATTATCTCAGCTCTTCTGAGTCCCTCTGTTGAACCCTCCCTCATGCATTTCCTGGAAGGCATTTGAATGAGCTCTGGTGGTGTAGTGCGTAAGGCATTTGACTGCTAACCAGAAGGCTGTCTGTTCAAACCCACCAGCCATTCCTGGGAAGGAAGATTGGGCAATCTACTTCCGTAGTGATAACTGCCTCAGAAACTCAGGGAGGAGTCGCTATGAGTCAGGTCCGACTCAATGGCACATAACAACAACAACATGCTCTACTTCCCATCTCTCACTTTCCAAATACCTGCTCATATCCCAGCTCACAAAAGTGGAGCATGCTTCATCTTCTCTGGGTTCAAAAGTTGTAATACCAAAATGTCCAAACTCCCTTCCCCACTTCTCACAATACCTGGGGACCTTCATTCAAACCTATTCTAATATCACAGATTTCCCAGAGGGTATATGTAGATTTGACTACCATTAACACTGTTACTGGGAGCTCTGGTGGTGTAGTGCCTAAGGCATTTGATTGCTAACCAGAAGGCTGGTGGTTCAAACCCACCAGCCACTCCTCAGAAGGAAGACTGGGCAATATACTTCCGTAGAGATACAGCCGTGGAAACGCAAGGAGGGGACGCTATGAGTCAGAATCGACTCAATGGCAGTGAGTGTATGAGTGAGTGGGTGAGTCTCTTGCCCAAGCCTTTCATTCAGAAGGCAAGTGGGGAAAGTCCAACTCCCATGGCCATGGAGTTGGTTCTGACTCATAACAACCCTGTAGGATAGGATACAACTGACCCATAGGTTTTCCAAGGCTATAAATCTTTATGGGAGCAGACAGCCTCATTTTTCTCCCACAGAGCAGTTGATGGGTTTGAACAACTGACCTTTTGGTTAGCAGCTGCACGTTATAACCACCGCACTGCCAGACGTCCTTTTAAGAAACGTACAAAGACCCAAACCTGGCCTCCTTTCTCCCTACTAATCTTATTCTGGAAAAGTTTGTTAGGAAGGAGGAGGCTGGAGTTTTTGGAGCGGTCTGTGAACTCTGGTTCTCTTTCCCTGGCCCTCACATAAAAGGGCAAGCAAGAGCTGGCTTTAAAAAGAAGGGATTCTATTTTAAAAGAGAAATGAAAAATCCCATGGCGTATTTAACCTGCGGCTAAATTTAGATCTGAAGTTGAGGTGGTTTCCCCGAGTCTGCTCCGTTCCCTGTGTCTGAATAGCACCAGCCCTGTGGTATAGGATATGTTAATCTCCCCCTCCCTTGAAAACGGTCTTATCTTTGTGGAAAGACAACTCATTATGATCAATGTAGCATGAGAGTATTCAAACGCAAGTTCACCCTATTCTTCAGAGAGAGGTTGTATTTTTCTCCAGTTAACTGTAAATGCAACAACTCTTTATTCTCATTTACCTCCAACAGCTGGGGCTTCAGTATCTGTTCT